GGAAGGGAGCTTAAAGACCATCTCCTTCCACCCCCTGCCATGGGCAGGGACACCTTCCACCAGCCCAGGTTGCTCCAACCTGGCCTTGGACACTTCCAGGGATCCAGGGGCAACCACAGCTTCTCTGTGCAACCTGTGCCAGGGCCTGCCCACCCTCAGGGGAAATCTGCTCTTTTTATTGTCACAAAGAAAGGACTGGAAATTCTTCCTCCTGCAGGGGAGTCATCTTTGTCTTGTCACATGGGGGGGATTTTAAGCCCTTAAGCAGAATCCCAGAATATCTTGAGCTTGAAGGGACCCACAAGGACCATCCAGTCCCACTCCTGGCCCTGCCCAGACACCCCAACAATCCCCCCCCTGTCCCTCAGAGCGTTGTCCAAACCCTCCTGGAGCTCTGGCAGCCTTGGGGCTGTGCCCACTGCCCTGGGGAGCCTGGGCAGTGCCCAACCACCCTCTGGGGGAAGAACCTTTCCCTAAAATCCACCCTAACCCTGCCCTGGCACAGCTCCAGCCATTCCCTCAGGTACTCAGGGAAATGTTGCTGAGGATCCTTTGGAGACTCCTCTGGGTTCCGTAGGAGTGAGTAGGAAGGACTTAAATCTTTGATGTGAAATCAGTTCCAGTGATTTTAGGGTGTCCTAAAGGAATGAATTTTCTTATGGCCAAAATCCAGAACAGAGGGAGCAGAGGGAGCTATTTTTTTACCTCTGGCAAATTAGAGAACACCTCTGCTGGGAGTGTCATCTCCCAAATAAAATTTTTAATTAATCTTTTGACCTCTCTTCCCCAGCTGCTGCATCTTGCAGGAACAAAAGTAGAACAGCTCAGGTGAAAAATTCCAATTGAGCCGTGTCCTGAATCCTGCTGAACATTCTCGTGGCAGGTGTTTAATTTTATTCTGCTTTATTCCACTTTATGCAGCACAGTATTTGCCTTTGAGCAGTAGGCTTTTATGCAGAGATTGTCCTAATATTTATGAAGTTATTCATGATTTTGTCGTAGGAAGATGTGACAGTTTGAATCTTTACTGGGGTTATGGGTTGGAAACAGGATTTCCAAGGCTTGAGGAACTTGATTTATATGATTTATCAGCTAAGGGGGCTGTGAGCTCTGTGTTTGGGGATGTTTGTTAAACACCACCAGTCGTAGCTGCTGTTTCAAAGAAGCGCCCAAAGGTTTGGTGAGACGCAAAGGGGAAGGTCCGAGCTGGGTAGAGGTGGAGTAAAAGACCTTCTGGAATGATCCATCAGGATTTGTGGTGGGCATTGCATCATCCCTTGGAAAACCTTTATGATCTGACTGACTTGTTTTTTTTCTCCAAGCTCCCAAGTTCCACCTCGACCACAACCACTGACCTTGAAGTGGGTTTTTAATTAGGGGACGACTCCTCGTCTGGATTTTGGGAGGGTTATTTGGGATGTCGGGGCTCTGTGAGTGCCATGACCTCGGAGAACTCGCTGCCTATAGGAATAATAAATTCAGCCCTCATGTTTTTCTTCTTGTGGCGAAGCCCAAATTTAAAAAGAAAAGGGGAGTTTAAAGAGAAAAAAGAAGTCGAGCCAAGGCTTTTGGTGTTCTGATCCCGACTCTGATAACGCTCCTTGTGTGGCCTTGGGTGAGTTATTAATCCACGTGGGCCTGGCTTTGCCAATTTATCCAATATGGATAAATTCCCTCGGCCAACGGGATGACGAGTGTTTAATGTAAATGTGAAATAATGACCGTAAAAGCGGGATAACTGCGAGCTTTTTGGGGTGTTTTGTTTATGACAAAAGGACGGTTGTGCTCCGGGGAGGCGCCCATTTCCCAGCCCTCCTCCACTGAACTCCTGGGAGATGTTTTGACTCTTCCAAGGAGGATTTTTCTTGACTCGTGGCCACCGCTGTGGTGCCGTGCCCCGCCAAGTTCAATGTTCTGCTGGACGGAACAGGACGTGTTTATGGATTCTGACGAAAACTTGGAAGTTCTTGGATCGTTGAACTCGCAGCGTTACGGGAAAATGAATCAGGTGGTGACTCACCAAGGAGGGCTGACCCCGGGGGGAGAGGGCAGAGCGTGCACTAAAGACTTACTGGGAAAGTATTTCTCTGGTTGTCTGGGGCGTATATTTATTTTTGTGGGATTATTCCCGAGGCTGGTACCAGCTGGGGCCATTAGGGATGGGACGTGGGCTTGGTGCCTCTCTGAATTTTCATATATCTCTATATATCTATATATCTATATCTATCTATCTATCTATCTATCTATCTATGTAAATCTATATATTTCTCTCTCTCTCTCTCTCTCTCTCTCTCTCTCTCTCAATATATAGATATATCAATATATGGGTCTATATATCCATATATTTCTCTATATATTGATATATATATCTATATATCATCTATATATCAATATATAGATGTATTAATATATGGGTCTATATAACCATAAATCTCTCTATGTATTGATATATACCTCTATATATCATCTATACATCAATATATAGATATATATCTATATATAGATATCTATCTTTATATCTCTATAATAGATATATATATCTCTCAATATCTCAATATATAGATCTATCTATATACTGATATATATCTATCTATCAATCTATGTATCAATATATAGAGAGATACAGAGATATATAGATTTAGATATATAGATATATATATTAAGATATAAACAATATATAACATATAAACAATAGACAAATAAACATCAATTTAGAGATTGAATATACATTTATGTATTTATATTTATATATAACACAAAATATATAAGTAATATATATATCCTACATATATATCCAATATAAATAATATATAAATAATATATAAATTATATATTTATATATATTTTATATATAGGTGTATATATTTAGATATTTTGATATAAACAATATATAATACATAAAAATATAGAAATAAACATGTATAAATACATAAATAATATATAAAATATAGATACACATATATAAACAATACATAATACATAAGTAATATACAAATAAACATATATTTACATATAATATATAAATACATAGGTAATATATAAAATATAGATACACACATATATAAACAATACATAATACATAAGTAATATGCAGATAAATTTATATTTGCATATAATATATAAATACATAAATAATATATAAGTTATAGATATACATATATATAAACAATATATAAATATATAAATAATATTTAAATTATAGATATTTGTATATAATATATAGACATTATATAAATGTATAAATGTTACATATATTTTGTATATTTTTTATATCTGTCTATCTATGTATCTATCTCTCTATCTATCAAATATACTTTTTTCCTCTCCAGACCCAACCATTTCCAGGCTTAAGAGTTGTCTGTTTGTTCTCACTCCAGCCCAAGGTGTTTGGGCAGCTTAAAGGACAGCAGTTTTTCTACAGGAAAAGTTGATTTTAAGTAGAAGATTTAAATGTTGTTCACAAAATCTGAAAGGTCAACAGAGCAAACCCCAGCCAGGGCACAGCAGTGTGAGGGCATATATTTATTTTTGTTGGATTATTCCCATGGCTGGTTTTAGCTGGTGCCATTAGGGATCAGTTGTGGTCTTGATGCCTCTCTGAATTTAATTTTAATATACTATTAAATTTTTTTATTTAATTATTTCCCCCCCCTTATTTTCTTTTACTTTGTTTTCTTTTTTAAATAATTTTCAATTTATTTCATTTTACAAGAAAAGGTTTAAGCGTTCACACAGAATCTGAAAGGTCAGCAGAGCAAACCCAGCCAGGGCACAGCTGGTCAGGGCTCTGCTGCCTGGATTTACTCGAGGCAGAGAAGCAGCTCCAGGTGCAACAATGGTGGTTTTCTCATCTCCAGGCTTTGGAGAAATCCAGAAATCTGATGTTTTCTGGAATCGTAAGTGCTTTGGGTTTGAAGGGGCCTTAAAGATGATCTTGTTCCAACCTCCTGCCATGGGCAGGGACACCTTCCACTAGCCCAGGTTGGAACAAGATCATCTTTAAGGCCCCTTCAAACCCAAAGCACTTACGATTCCAGAAAACATCAGATTTCTGGATTTCTCCAAAGCCTGGAGATGAGAAAACCACCATTGTTGCACCTGGAGCTGCTTCTCTGCCT